TTCAAATTTTTACCGCCATCGGAAAAAGATTTTGTTGTTATTTTGATAAGGTAAGCTGCTTCATTATTAATTCATATTTGTTTTTACTTAGTTTGAACCTTGTTCATTGTAATTTTTCAATGTTATTTATGATTTTTAGGTTATAAGGAAATAATTTTTATCGTTGTAAATTTGCAATAAATCCGTTTAGCATGGGGTGCCAATATATGGTTGTCAAATTACTCATGGTCATATTATTGGCATGGCATGCCAATGATTGGTCGGTACTAATATTTTGTATTAAACGATTTTATACATTTTATGGACTCTATTCTTACTATACATTACAATTACTATCTACAAGATAAATAATGATTTTCCAAAAATTGGCATAGTGCCAATAACTCTAAATCCAACTATTGTCACAGTGCTAATAATTAGGTAACTGATATGCCAATATATGGATATTTTTCAAATATTTTTTCAGAAAAGAAGAACTTGAAGATGAAGCCTAAAACGAAAGTAAAACCTAAAGAAAAAAGAATGCAGTATGACGCAGAGAATTTAAAGAAGGCTATAAATGCAGTTAATAGCGGGATGAGCAAAAAACAAGCTGCCAAACAGTTTCAGGTACCTAGGTCGACTATACAGTTTCGTATAAATAACCCTGATAAAATAAATCCCCGTCCTGGACCTTCTACGGTTCTCACTGAATCAGAAGAAAAAGATATAGTTAATTGGATAGTCCAGAGCTCTAAGAAAGGATTTCCTCGGCAGAAAGAAGATATTCAGCATAGTGTCTCAGTATTTATAAAAAAGTCTAATAGATCTAGTTGTTTCACGGATAACTGCCCGGGAGAAAAGTGGCTTAAATTATTTTTGAAAAGGCATCCAGAAATTTCCATTCGTACACCCGAATCGGTTACAGCCGCAAGCTCCGTCGTTTCGGAAAAAGATATAAGAGGATGGTTCAATGGCATTGAAAAGTATTTAAAGGACAATGAATATTTTGATATTCTTTCAGACCCCAGTAGAGTCTTTAACGGAGATGAAACGAATTTTTTGCTGTGTCCAAAAACAGGCGTGGTTTTAGCATTGAAAGGTGATAAAAACATTTATGAAATTGACAGAGGTCAAGCAAAATCTGCCATAACAGTAATGTTCACATTTTGTGCGAACGGAGACACTACCCCCCCTATGGTAATTTTACCATATAAGCGTCTTCCTGGAGAAATAGCATCTAAAGTCCCAAAGGAATGGGGCATCGGGTTAAGCGACAATGGCTGGATGAAGGCAGAATTGTTTTATGATTACATCAAAAATGTACTTCATCCATATCTTGTAAAAGAAGGAAAAATATTTCCAGTAATCTTATTCGTTGATGGACATAAGACGCATCTGACGCTGCAAGTCAGTGAACTTTGTTCCGATCTAGGAATTATACTGATTGCTCTCTACCCTAACTGCACTAGAATTTTACAGCCTGCTGATGTAGCAGCATTTTTCCCCTTGAAGTGTGCATGGAAACAATGTGTCCTTCGATGGAGGCGTGACCATCCTGCACAAGCATTGACGAAAACAGAATTTGTACCAATTCTTAAAACTGCAATAGAAGTTTCGTTAAAGCCGGATACAATTAAAAATGGGTTTAGAGCTTGTGGGCTGCAACCATGGAATGCTGACGCATTGGATTACACTAAATGTTTAGGAGATTCGAAAGGAAAACAGACAAGCCAAACTCTTCCAACCAATAAGACTTCGGAAAATGACCCACAACATCCGAAACCAATGACCAGAAATGATTTTATAAACATTGTATCTTGGGACACTATAAACAAACTTAATAGAAAAGAAGAACAAACGATTCATGACGCGTCCAAACTTTTACAGAATCTTTGGCATTTTTTTGGAGATGTTTTAGATGCTGCAACAATTGAAACAAGCAACGATATTCCCATGAACTCTTTGTTACAAGAACAACAGCTGGATATTGAAAATATGCCGGTAGTTATGGCAAGTGATCTGTCGGAATCTGATTGTGAAACTTCTCATCTCACAGTTTCTCACGAAGTTGAAGTTCACAGTACCCACAGATCTTTTGAGCCTAATTTGCCTTCCGATTTGAAAATTTCACCACAACCAACTGATGTCTCACCGCATCTACATATAAGTAAGGAAGGCATAGAATATGATAAAGATTCTGAAACAGTAGAAACACAGATCATTAATAGTCCCGATGTACTAAATGAACCTCCAACTCCAAGCAATAAAATAAATATACAAAGTTCGGTATTGACAGAAAATATTATATATCCTAGCTGGACCCCCAAAACTCCGTGTAAGCTTAATTTAACACCAGTTAAGCTCAATGACATTCTCATCCTACCAAAGACCCCGATACGAAAGGGAACCAAGAATTCAGAAAGAACATCTTTTGTATTAACTTCCGAAGAATGGCAAAGAAAAGAAACAGAAAAAAAGATGGCAAAAGAGCAAAAAGAAGAAGGTATTAAGAAGAGGAGATTAGAACGAGAACAAAAAAAACTTTCACAAAAAGACAAAAAACCATTGCCAGTAAAGGGTAAAGGAGGAAAGGGAAGGAAAGGAAAAGTAGACAATACACCAGAACATATAGATTATAATGTTCCTTCTACCTCAAGATGTAAAACAACCAAAAATTTTTTTACAGAAACAGATATTTTAAAAATGCTGATTGACTCTGATGACGAAATGTAAATGTAAATTACAGTAAAAAATAAATATACATTGAATAATTTTCACTTAATAATATTGTTTTATTTGAGAAATATTGACAAATTATAGGGTGCCAATATTTAGTATAATCCATGTCAATAATTAGGATTAAGGGTGACAGTAATTGGATATCCCCAAAAATATTACATTATCTATTCTCCTCACAAAATTTGGTAAATATGTGTCTCTTTGGCGTAGGATTATAATAATATATTATATATGGAGTGCTTAGCTTATGGAAATATCGACCTAGTATGTTTAAATACCCACAATAAATCAATATGTTCCATGCCTATGCCTTAAAGTGCCAATAATTGGGTCACTTACCCTAATTGTTATTAAAATAAATTATGCCACTTCTGATTACAAAATCACTTGCCCGTGGAAGGAAACGTCCCTGTTTACCCGTTTACCCACAGTTATGGTGTTTTTGCAGTTTGTAATGGCACAATTATGCATTTATCGCGTTTTCGACTGGTGTTTAAGTACGATAACGGTCGAGTGCGTTCTAAAGTGTAGCAGCGGGGCTTACTTTGGGCACGCGAAGTACGTACACTTGCTGTGGGTATGCCAAAAACCAACTCCGCCGCTGGTGATATGACCATCGGCATCCCTCAAGGATCGGCCTTGGGTAATACGTCATTCCTAACGTTCATCAACGATCTTGTATAGCGGAGGGTTTGGTCGTTCTGTTTGCAGATTGCACTACTGTTATAGTGTGTGCTAAAAACTTCTCGGAAATGGACGAAAAAGTAACATATACGTACAGTCAGCTTTGTGAATGGTTTTTTGCAAATGGACTTATTCTAAACACGTCAAGTCGAACCTGGAACAACCATCGGCTTTTATAATTGTACGGTGGAGCATAATTTGCACTTTTTAAAATAAACCAGTCAACTGCTAACTCCCGTGTTTCATTGACGTTGCACTGGCGCCGAATCTGGGATTATTACCATAGACTTTTTTCTCTCGTAACCGCGTGTGTCTAATATTGTCTTTAAAATGCCTATCGGGAAAATTGAACCGTTTAACATTAGCTCAAAACAGTGGCCAGCTTACATTCGCCGTGTAAATCAATATATTCTGTATGCAACTCCGTACTAGCTTGAGTGTCATAAATAGCTAATACAGGTCTTTCAATAAGTGCAGTTTTTAGTTGATTGAATGCCTGCTCGTGACTTTCGCCCCAAATCCAGTCTACACCTTTTTTGTAAGACACGTTAGTGGACGTGCAATTCCGGCAAATCCTCTAATATTTTTTTTTAAATATGACGCTAAACCAATGAACTGGCGTATATCATGTATGTTTCGTGGGGGTTTGTGTTCTGCAATACATGTAATTTTAGCTTCCCCAGGGCGTACGGATCCTGCTGTTACTTCATCTCCGAGATAATTTACACTTTTTTTAAAATGAACACTTTCAAATTTAATTTCAAATCAGCTGCGGAAAGTTAGATTAGGACCTCCCCGAGAAAACCGAACCCTTCCTCAATGGTTAATGAAGACAGAATTACGTCATCAAGGTATATAGCCAATTTATTTTCAAGTTTCCCTAATGCGCGACGAATTGGCCAAGTCAAATGGCATTTTCAGAAATTCGAATTGCCCGGTAGGTATAATAAACGCCGTATTGTGTACAGACCTCTCCTCTATAGGCACCTGATAGTAACCTTGTGCTAAATCTAAGGCCCTAAATAATACCTTCCCCGAAAGCCTATTGATTTGATCGTCAATGTGCGGTAGAGGGTACCTATCTTTTAATGTACGAGAATTAAGTGCGCGGTAGTATGCATAATCTATACTCGCCGTTTTTCTTTTTAACGAGCACCACAGGGCGGGCGTAGTTTAAATTTGACTCCCGAACAATTCCCGCTGTAAGCAGTTCACTAATCTTCTCCTGGACTATTGCATTTTCTTTGTATAAAAATCGGTGTGGTTTACTGAACACAGGGGCCTCAGTAATAGTCGTTATTTGCATTTCAATAAGATTTGTACATCCGAGTTCACTGCTATTATCGGCAAAACAATTCCGGTATTTATTTAATAAACGCATTCAAATGATCTTCACTAAAATCATCTAATTGAGAGCGAGAAAGAAGTTTGATGTAAACGATTTAGATAAATCGTTTACATCAAACTTCTTTCTCGCTCTCAACTCATTTACTGTTTCACTATCTTTCCGATCCGAAATACTCATAAAATCATTGACTTCACAAAGATCAGCGCGCGTAATAAGTTTATTAGCTGTCCACTGTAAACACACCTCCCCGAAATTGATAAAGCGTAACTGATAAAGACCGGACTCGAGTATCGCTTGAGGAATAAAATAAGATAACCCGCCCAAAGAGAAAATCACTGGCCGCGGTACTAATACCGCGCCGTCAGGAACATGTTGTTGTGTATACACTTTCACGTCAACACTAGCACCAGCGGGGATACTCACGTTGTCGGTCGCAAACAAAGATACTTTTAGCGAGAAATCAGTACTTTGCAAGTGAATATTACTTAACTCAGGTATGACGTCATCGTATCTAACTAAAGTAGCTGACTTTGACGTTGTAATAAGGCTCACATTCGGTTGATTAATCACAGGTATTCCTACAATTAAATCAAGGTTTTGGAGATTTGTGTTTGTCACTTCTGCACAAGTATTGAGATACAAATCGTCAATATGAAGCCTAAAATTTATTTTCCCAAATGAGGAGACATTGGATCCACCAAAACCTCGTAACATAACATTTGATGGCAAGATTTGTAATCGTAATTTATTAACAATATTTGAATTTATTATATTGATTTTACTGCCAGTATTTAAGTACGATATAGCCTTACAATCGTTTATTTCAACTTCCTTTATATATATATATTGGTTATTAACTCATGTAGTGAAATATACATTGTTTACCTGTAAGTATTGACGCGGGGCCGACATCGACAGCTGCGTTTGTGGCGGGCCTAGCAGAGACATCGTAGCGTTCGCCTCTCGCGGCGTAGATGCTGCAGTGGCGCACCAGCATACGCTCGCAGTGTGCCCCATACGCTGACAAATTTGACACCTGGTCCAACGGCATTCTCGAGGTTCGTGTCCAGTTTTGCGGCAGTTGTAGCAAATCTTCGGCAAGGTATTCGTTGATGATCCTCGTTGCCACGTTGATTTTGCGCCTGGTGTGCTTACTCTTCCTTCCTGGTGTACTCGCTCCACTGTCTTATACTTCTTGACGCTCTCCACTGTCTTATAGTTCTTGAGAGACGACAAGAATCCGTAGTACAACCCTTCTGGCTCTTCGCAACTGTATGCTTTCGATTTTGCACGAATTTCTACAGGGAGACCTCGTATCAAACAAATAATGAAAATGTTATCGCAGTCGTCCCATTCGTGCACGTCGGCAAGTTGTTCGTTCTTATGTACCCATCCCTTGACGTTTGCCGTTTTAAGTCCAGGGTCAAATTTCGGAATTATTTCCGCCTCCATATGCGTGATACGACCACGACTTCTGTGTTGTGGGAAAATAAAATCATCGCGATCGAGATCAGAAAAAAAATAATTTCCTTTTCGGCCATGTTTGTATTAGACGAGTCAGTTTTTCGCTTTCTTCCCAATCCATACAAGTAGGACCCGTGAGTTCCCTCCATCCCACTTCTGAGATGTTAAACCTCAGGGGAAGAGCACTGCAAACACACAATAGTATCTGAAATCCGTTTTATTTCACCACAACAGACACTCAACAACAAAAACACCCTCTTCGTTTCCCCGCCCAAAATCATCAACTTCTACTTCTTTACTAGCCGTGGCCTCTAGCGGCGTAATTGGTAATCATAAAATTAAAATGTCAATACAATTATCTTCAAAACAAATACTTCTGATCATTTTCTAATAGTTCTAATTGCATTCTACAACTTCCGTATTTATATAATTTCAATGTTTAATAATTGACGAATTAAATAATTATAATTGAACGTTATGACTATGACTAATGCATATTAGTAAAATGTGACGAAGCTCCGGAAGGAACATCTCGCGGATGTATACCTACATGACAATTATGAACTTAAAATCAATATGAATAAAAACAACTATTAAAATTATGCAATGGCCTACAGCATTTTGATAGATACATAACTTGCAATTGAATATTAATTTAGTATTTAAATAATTATAATTTACTACTGATGTTTAATTAATGTCGTTTCAGTAAGATATGAAGTGAACATCAGGCTTTATGGATGAGTTAGTCATGTTCGTAACATTTTTGATGACATTTTATAACCTATTTTTATCGTGACGCTTTAATAAAATTATTTGTGTCTTTCCGTATTAGCGTTTTAGTTTATTTAATTTTAAATATTGCATTTTCCAAAAACCTATTCTAATGCAGCGCAGTATGTCTGGATGTGGCCTAGGGTAATCCAAGGTTTAATTATTGTATAGCGGCATACCGTCTTTTACCCCTAAAATCGGACATATCCCTGTTAACAAAAGAATTAGAGAAATTACGTTTACGTTTCATTCCGAAGTTTCCACGAGTCTCACTACAATAGTTTTGGAGAAAACCTCGACAAAAGTCTCTGTACCGTATTTAGTATTTTTTGAAAATGATATTATAGTGATCAAATTGTTGCACCTAAGTAATTCGGTTAGATTGATTTTTCAAAGGTCTTACTTGTAGCCCTATTACAAACGTTTTTTGGGACATATAGGCTGCGAATAAATCCCGATTTAGTCATTTTTTGCTTTAAAACCTAGCTGCACATAAAAACTAATTTAACAAAAAAATAATCAAGTAGGTACTAACTCAGCACAATTTTTGGAAATAATAATTTTTGATAGCTGAACAGGTTCATCTAATGTACTTTAACAACAAATTTTGTGTAGACTTAAAAAAATGACAAATGGCTTTTTATTTATTTAAGATATTCCACATAGAAAATACTACACATTAAATAGTGAACCATACTAAGCAACGTCACAGCATATGATAACAATAATTTGAGACAAAATATATAAAAATTATGATGTCACAAAGATAAACTATTTGAATTTATATAAATCGCTATAATAGTTGGTAGTAATGTCATTCCCAATTTTAAAATCAAACAGTATCCACTGTTTTAGATTCCTCTATCAAGACGTTTGGAAGGTCAGTTTTTACGTAGAGTTACGCCATCATTCCGAAATACTTTGCCTTCCTCGCTAACATATGAATTAAAGCCATTTAAGTGAGGAATTTTGGAGGTTTTGAGTAACCTACACTCAGTGAAATCAAAGATATACATTCATAAGTGGCATCAATGTCTTGGGTTGAAGAGTAGAATGGTGCCCGTGGCTGTTGTTATAATCAGTGTTACTGACGTACTCTTCCTAACAGAACCCTGTTCGTCTCCTGTTTTGTAGTTCGCGGGTTTGTTGAAGCACACAGGACATTCAAGGAACAACATGTTACCGTTGGCCGCCTTTTTGCGGCATCTTCCAGACATACTAAATGTAATCCTCCTTTCATAACTATATCAGCAAAAGATTGGTTTTTAAATCTACCTACTAATTACTCTCCTTACTTAGTAGTACATATGTCGGCGTGCATTTTAATTGCCACCTGCTCTTTGATAAACATATCGATAATATTATATAGTTGCCAAAGCATAAAGAGCCACTGGGTTCCTGATACGTACATGCAATAAATCCTATAAAAATACTTTATTGCACGTATTGTCCTCGAATAAGCTTCTCAGGTTTGGAACTCTAGATACGAAGTTTATAAATAGCGTATTGAAGCCATGCAAAAAAGTTTTTAAGGTGTTTAGATTATAAGACAAATTGTCATTTTGTACTTCTCAATTATGGGCGAAAAGTAGATGACATTTTGCTTCTTAAATAACATAACAAACAGTAAAATTGTCTCATCAGAATTACTGTGTTAGTTATACTTTATGGACTAATCAGCTAAGTCTCCCGGTGCTGTGTAGGTAGGTATCTATACCTGGGGCGAAGACCAATTAAAGGCAAAATTCATGTTTTATCAGAGCTATTGGAGTGTAATCAATCGTCTTTGGACATATGTCTACTGTTCAGTACAATTCTAATTGTTGTTTACATTTCAATAATAATGTTTTAGTTTCTGCTTACTAAATAAAACCTTAGTAACCTATTTTTTGTGCTACTTGGGGAGATTTGTAATTAGCACTGTGACCTGTAACATATGTCTATTGATAAATATTTACTGCAAATCTTCCAAATAACAAATAAATATCTATTTGTAAAAATAGTAGAGTTACCTACTTTGTTTATGGGTTGAACATATTATTTTTGCTGTAAATTGTATACTATAATAAAATAAAGCATGACATGTAATGCATATAAGTAATATGATAAGCTTTACAGCTTACAGCTTTTTTACCCGCAAAATAATTAACTCTTTATTTCCTTGTTGCAATGCTGTTTCAGTTATTTATACTACTATTCTGTGCGGATAATCTGTTTATCGAACTGATGTTTATAGAAATAAGTAATGAAAGATGGCTATGTTTACATTACCTCTTTATAGAACTAGTTTATAAAGTAGCATAAAACCGGCAGGAAGCCAAAATTAAGTGAGGTCGCAGCGCATAAGAATGAAATGAAAATAGCAAAACTGAGTCGCGAAGTTCCGCTAAATATAGCTGGGTGGGTGGAGATCGGCGGCGGCGCGGGCGCATCACGCACCGATTTTGAGCGCGCACGCGCGGCCTCGCTTTATTCGTGTGTGCCTTAGATTTGTTGTATCAAAATGTGTATTTTAAGAGTATTTACATAAATGTTTATAAGTATAAAATTTCGTAAATCGAACACCCAGTGTGTATTTTTTAAGAAACAAAAGTGGATCCTGGTCGTGAATCTTTAAAGCGTAAGTGCGCGACGGTTTAAGGTGTCCTAAATATACTTAGAACCTACACATTGCAAACAATTCAACTCGTCCGCGCGTAAGTATTATATTTGATTATTAATGTAGACAATACATTACGTAATTAAATTATACAGTTGTTTATTCAAGAATTGAGAGATTTATATTATATATTTCCTTTCAATTTATTTACCTACTACTATTTCCAGGGGTGATGAACATCGATACAGGATTAGAAGTACCCCGGGCGCGCCCATTGTCAGCTGGGTTATGGACTCTGCTCTCTTGGCTGCGGCGCGAGGAGCATTCGTCTAATGACAGCCTATCAAGCGTAGGTTCTGATGGTACCGCTGTTAGCTTCGCTTTCTTAGCTCCTCCACCGCCTCGAGCACGAACAGCTGGGGTGCCTTTAACACCAGTGTCTCCATCCACTGATTCCTACAGAAAGAGAGTGCGTGACCGAAATGTTCGACGGCAGCACGATCGTGATTTGACACTCCGCAGTAAATACGGGTTGTATCGAGCTGACAATGGCTACGACGCGCTTACTTTACCTTCGACTCGAAGAAGTTTAATCGATAATAGCGATAAAGAAAATCGCGAAAGAAGAGCTGTAAGTGAGAGCTCCGAACGACGTGCAGCATATGTACCTGGAAAGCGTCGAGCGCCATTGCCACCTAATTTTACCGCTACTCATCCTACTTCTCTAACTCACAGACGTACCAGCAGGAAGAGACCTGCACCAAAACCCCCGGTTATGTTAGACCAATCTAAAGAAAGAGAAAAGCAAGATACTCTGAATATTCCTCCGCTGATGAATTCTAAATCTATGCACGTAAATCCACTGACAAACCGTACTTCTAATGAAAGTAAATTAGAGAAGTGCAATAAGAAAGATGATCAGACTAAAGGTACTACAAAACATAAATCGGAAAAAAGTTTTTTAAAACTATTGTTTGAGAGTAAGAAAAGAAATTCAACAATGGAAACTGTTCCTGAAAGAATACTTCCGAGTATAAGTGAATTGGATAAACAAGCTGCTGCGATAATAGAATCTTGTAAACTTAAAACATTAAATGAAAACGACCCTAATGGATCTTCATCGCATGTACAGACTTGGTTTTGTACAAAATGTTTGAGAAAATACGACTCTACCGTGGTCTCTTGTCCGAACTGTTTATCAGAACAAAATATAAATTTTAATGGATTGATTCCTGAAAACAAGACTCTTCACTCGAAGCCTTCCGATGCGTACACTCAAACTCAAAATGCTGCGTCACCAATTAGGGTGGTATCTTCAAACAGAAGCGGGATTGAAGCTAAAGAAAAACAAGAATTAAAAGAAATGTTAAAGGAAATGAAAAACTCCCTGCCTAAAAGACCAAAACATGACAGTAATGAAAAGATTACAACTAAAAACATAAATGAAAGAAATGTATCTACTTTCGAAACCCCTACACTTCGAATAGGTTCTACTTTATCGGGTGAAGTTAACAAACTTGAATTAAATCCTCAACCGACTTCGTCAAAAATAGATGCAAGTACAAATTGTGGAAGTTTTAATAATGGAAGCAATGAAAGCGGTAAAATAAAACCTAAAGCAACAGAAACTGTCGTAGTAACTCAACATGTAGTTTTAGTAGCAGCGCCAAAAGATGAATTAGATCAATTGTCCAAACCAAATGACGTAGAATCAAACAAAACAAATTATATTAAAACTAATGACAGTTCAATTTCTAACGATGACCTAAGCCTTCATACGCCTTTAAAAATATCTTCTTTATTGAATCCTATTTATGTCCCAAAAAATAGTACTGAAAACCAGGTAAGAAGAACATTATTTTTGAATCAGGCAGGTTCTCAAGCAAAGCAAAGACAAATAGCGGAAAAACAGACATCAGTGATAACGACTAATGTAACAACGCCTAGCACGTCAATAATTTCTACAAATAAATTAAATGAAGCTCAGGAAGTGCATAAAATGAAGATGACGCATCCAGATGATGTTAAAAGCAAAGAAAAAGAAAACCAAAAACCTGTACTAAGTTTGACGTCTTTATCATCACGAACAGCAAACGAAAGTAATTCTTCTCAAATAGAACCAAAACAAATGTCTGGACTCAAATGCCAAGATAAGATATTAAGTCCTTTGGTTTCTGTTCCACCTGTACCCAACAGTTCAACGAGTAATAATATTAGGTTAACTGTAGAACAGCATTCCAGACGCAGGGAGTTGATTAATCAGCTGGAAAAATCTATTGCAAAAGGAGACGAAGCAGCGGCTGCTGATGCAGCTATGAAACTTGCACAACTACGGCTATCATGTTCAGTACTATCGTTTTCATCTCAAATAGTAGATGAATCTTCAAAACTATCATTAAATCAACTACCAACGGTGGGTCTACATACTATTTCATCAAATCAAAGTAATTTAAAATCACCCAGTACTGTTGCAAAAGTACACGCATCAGTCCAATCGACGGAAATAGTTTCGTTAAATAAAATTTCTAAAAACAAAGACGAAATCACAGTCACAGAACAAAAGCTTATCAATCCGACATTATCCAGTGAGGTAGCTACTAGATCACAAGAGACAAAACAACATTCATTTTATGAAATAGGGGGAGAATTGCCAAAACCAAAACAAATCGAAGAACCCTCGACCTCAAACTCAACGGCTAAAGGAAGGTCTAACGACTTAAGGACGTAAGTTATTTTTTTAATTAGTACGTCTTTCGTTCTTGCTTCTTTCACTTAACTAGCAAATTAATAATATTTATTTATTCAGTATAGAAGTTTGGGTGGAAGACAGAGAGGCAACGCGTGGCCCAATTTGCTTGCACATTTCTCGTCAGGCATCAATGGGAGAGTTGCGACGGCACGCACAAACGACACTGGGTTTAGATTCTCGGCTGCAGCGATGGATTATTGGTCGGGCCCTATGCACTAATGATAAAATACCTCTTGCGGATTTGGCTGGTCCTAACCTCGCATCGCCTTTTTACTTGTGCGTAGTTGAATCAGGTTTGTAATATTGTGTTTACATATTATAAAAGTTTCGCAAATTTTTTTAAATTATTATTTATTTGCAAATAGCGAATTCTTTTTCAGAAACAAATTCGGTTTTATCATCTCAAGGTAAAGAAAGAGAACAAAAGATCGATGCCAAAAATGCTGGAGATGTATATTCAGAGTTAGTGCAGCTGGAAAAACGCGCATTAATTTTGAGCACTGAAACTTTCGAATGCGGTGTTTGCTTGGAAGAGTATTCGACTGGTAAAGGAGTTGTGTTACGGGAATGTTTGCATACTTTTTGCACACAGTGTCTATCAGATCTTGTACGATACTGTGAAGAAGCTGTAATATCATGTCCAGCGATAGGATGCTCAGGCATTCTTCAAGAGCGAGAGATCCGCGAGCTCGTGACCCCTGAAGAATACGAGAAATGGTTAGCACGAGGTTTAGCTGCAGCAGAAAGTGGGACGCGTAATGCATTCCATTGCCGCACACGAGATTGCACAGGCTGGGCTCTTTGCGATCCTGGCGTGCGAGTATTTCCCTGTCCTGTCTGCAAACACATTAATTGTATTCCATGCGAGGTAAACTTACTTTATTAATTTCATACTTTGGGGAAAAAAGGTCGTAAAACCCTATTTTATCAAAAATTTGTTACTGTATTTGGACAAAATTTATGTAGTTCGATAAAATTATCATGCTTCTCCGATCTATACATATGCAAAGGTTTGTGAGATACTAAAAATAAAAAGATACAAACGAAAACATCTGTAAGTTCTGTCTTTCACTTGTCTCGTAAATTTTACAGTTTGTATCGAGTTCTTAGGTTTCACAATTGTAGGAACATAGGAAATGAAACTATTATTTTGAATGGTTGGCTTGAAAAAACAAATACCCACTTAGTGGGATTTAGATCTGAAAAAATAGTTTCATTTTCTATTTTGTAGCTTGGTCTTTACCTATAGTCCTTTCTGTCCTGAATTTTTCAAAAAGCATTTTTTAATATGTGGTATTTTTTTTTTATTGAAAGGCTATTCATGAAGCAGAGACATGTGAGGAGTATCGGGCTAAACAGGAAATACTTAAAGTGCCTTCGAAGCAAACAGACGGCACTCAAGCATTCCTTGAAACGCTTATAATAAAAGGCGAGGCTCTTAGGTGCCCAGAGTGCAGTGCTGTTATCACGAAGAAATGGGGTTGTGACTGGGTAAAATGTTCAGCTTGTAAGACTGAGATTTGTTGGGTAACCCGTGGGCGGCGATGGGGCCCGGGAGGCCGAGGAGACACCAGCGGCGGCTGCCGCTGCGGCGTCGACGGCAAGAGATGTCATCCGTCCTGTGGTTATTGTCATTAGCGCAGGACCTACTAAGATGTCAAGAACACACATTTTATAATGGTTTTGATTTAGCAAAATTACATTTGTAAAATGATAATCATTTTAATATTTGCGAGAATATTTTTCTGTATCTTTTCATTTCCAATTTGAATATGCTTTTAAAGAAAATGTGCTTAAGTAAGATTATTACTAATAACTATATGTGTATTATAGCCATTATATTTTAAATATTTTGTGTTTGTATGAGTGACCTCACAAAGTTCTTTTTCTAATTAAAATATGATGCATAAAAGTTGTATTTTGGTTAAAGTACCTACTAAGCTACGGTTGATAATTTCGAACCACTGTATATCTGCAAAAGTGCACCTCACCAACATCAGAGGGCTGCACTCAAATATCGAAGCGGTCCACCACCTGGAAACCGACAAACAGCAGCTGCTGTACCTCACTGGGACGCAGATCAGATGTCCGGTTGACGCAGCGTACATCAGCTACCCTGGGTATACTCTGGAGCACAGGTTTTTACCTCGTGCCGGAGTCTGTGTATACGTTCGCGATGACATCTGTGAAACGTTGAGGCACCGAGTTTTTCTGTTTTGTGGCTTCTAGTAGACACGAGAATTACACAAATAGTGTACTGCTGTGTCTACCGTTCGCACAGTGGAGATCAGGATACGACCAAGCTGTTCCAATATCTGAGCGAGACGTCTGATGAGGCTCAACGCAGGTACCCAGCGGCACAACTAGTAATTCTGGGGGACTTTAATGTACACCATAAAGAGTGGTTGTTCCCGTACTAAATGACCGATCATGCTGGAACAGAAGCGCGTCGCTTTCCCAGCTTGTCAGTGGCGCCACTCTTAGCTTACAGAGCAATTCCATTTAAGCCTGTAAGTTGGATTTCCTGTCAAATTCGTACTATAACCTCACAAAAACAATTCACTGTACATGCAGTTTGCGTTCCCCATTCGAAATCCATTCACCTTTTCTTTCATAGCAAAATCGTATCACGACGTGCTATTTGCCATGCAAATGGCGGTCGATCTTTAAAAATTAGCAATTCAAAAAGTTACTCCGTGACTTAGATTTTGTTATATTTTTAAGAAATTTCGTTTAAGTTTTATTATATTTTCAGTTTCGTAATTATTTGTTATCTTTATAAGCTATATAGCCAATTGTCCATGAATAAATATTATTTACTATTGAGCGTTTTTTGAAAATTTTAGTTCGAGTTCCCAATCTTTAAAGTATTGTTGATAAATTATTGGCGTGAATGTTATTGCAATTTTTAAATGAAATTTTAATAATTTTATTGACCAAAAATCGTAAAATTACTTTTAAATAGTGCTAAATTTGACTTTAATGCAATCAATTAATATTGAGTTACTTATACACGAGGCACCTCGTTTGCACCACTCGCTTGGTTGGTTTGTCACAACACCTCATGTCATAAAAATGTCCCACCTCACTCCTCACCTCATACCTATCATATCAGACTCACTCATGTCAGACTGCTTCGAATTAAACAAATGCAACAATGATTGGTCCTGCACTGCCCGCATTGTAGCTGATTTTACATCATACGATCATATCTCTCTCTCTCTCTCATCTGAGCGTTGTCCCGGTTGCGTCCTCAGCAGTGTTGCTGCGGAGCCCGGGGTTCGCTTTCATACGATCATATTACCACAATACTAAATAAAAGTAGCATTTATTTATACTATATCATAACACTTAAGTTATCCAAATGATTGATGCCATCAAGTTATGAAAATGTGCTTAATATTCCCCGTCTGTTGACTCATTACCGTAGGTGCAAACTTTCTCACCACTACCTCACCTCATTTGAAGTAGGACATTGTGCCGCCTCATTTTAACTTCATGTCCTACCCAACACTATGAAATAAATAATGAAAATGTACAAATACAAGATACGTTCCAATTATGTTATTAAATTAACTTTTCAGGCCCTTTACAGGTCCTATGGTCACGGTTGACTGAGGTGTCTTCAACCAGCAGCAGCAGCAGACACCATGTTATGATCTGCATCTGCGGCAGTAATCATCTGGCAGGGGAACTTCAACATATAAAGGAAGTTGCTGATATTATAAAACAACGTAATGAGTATAATCAACAATAAAATGAATAAACAAATATAATAATTCTCATTTTGAACACAATCGGTTAATAGTGCTTGAACGCTCCCAGGCAGTACATCTGCCTATTTCTTTCATATGATTTAGTATGTAGTTCCATCTCGCTCTTGTTAGATGTCAGCTAGCCAGCCAGAGTCAATAATTGACATTGTAAAATCATCATCTTGTCATGCCATTCCGGTTCAACTTTGTGTAGGTCCTGATACGAATTTAAGCAATTCAGTTTTACCACGTCAAGTGAATTGCATGGAACTTGCCTGGCTGCTTATAAGCTCATAGTAGGCGCCCATGATCCCAGAAGTTGAGTCTCATACGGCAAATTGCTTGGGCCTACTTCTAACAACTGATCCAGACCGATACTCTGTACGAACACCTCATTTCAGTCTTCGTTACCTCCAAATTTAGCAAGCATATTTCTCGATAAACTTGCTACTCCTTCGGTTCCTGAATCAATTATAGCACAATTCCCATTTCCTCAATCAATTGGTAGAACAGGTCTTAATGCCCCCTTTACTTTGTCTGAACTGAAAGGCGTTTTAACAAAAGTGAAAGATTCTGCCCCTGGTGAGGACGGCATTCCAAATTCCTTTTTTGTTCATAGTAGCGACAACACTCTTTTATATTATCTAGATGTAGTTAATGGCGTCATGCTTTTTGGGATAATTCCATCATCTTGGAAATCACAGTCTATCATACTATACTACTACTATAGTCTCCTCTTTTAGACCGATTGCTCTTTCCTCTGTACTTGCTAAAATTGCAGAACATTTAGTTAAAAATAGATTGGAATGGTTCTTAGAATGTAAAAAATTACTTTCAAACAACCAATGTGGGTTTAGAAAAGGTAAAAGTACTATTGACGGTATTAGCATTTTGGTTACTGATATTCGCCTCGCCTTTACTAATAACAAGTCAGTACTCTCGGCATTTCTAGACATTAGTGCAGCGTACGATAGCGTTATTATATCTATATTACAAAAGAAATTATACGATCTGAAAGTACCTGTATTACTTTCAAACTTTGTAATCAATATGTTGTCGGAAAGGCGCATCAATTTATATCTTGACGACGGTTCTGTTATGTCCAGGCTAGTATGGAGGGGACTTCCTCAGGGATCTCTACTTAGTCCAATTCTTTACAATATTTATACCTACGACCTGAAGGTTGCTCTCCAGGACAAAGTTGGAATTTTACAATACGCTGACGATTTGCTGTTGTACGCGTCTGATACTAACGTTCCTAGAGCTTGTAATATTTTGTCCTCATCTCTTAATTTTTTAAGACTTTGCTTGGATGCTAATGGACTTTGTCTGTCTGCTTCAAAAAATGTAATAGTCTTGTTCTCTAGGATGCGCTATCCACCGTATCATGAAATTTTATATGATTCTATTCCTATTCCAGTTAGACTTCAAAATAAATTTCTAGGTATCGAGTTCTTAGGTTTTCGCGATTATTACACATAGGAAATGAAACTATTTTTCCGGATTTAAATCGCGTATATTTGTTTTTTCAAACCACTGATCATGGGACCTGTAAAGGGCCCGAAACGTCGGTTTGTTTGAAAAAACAAATATACGCGTTTTAAATCCGGAAAAATAGTTTCATTTCCTAAATTTGTAGGTATTGTACTGGACCCTAAACTCACTGGTATTCCTCACTGTGAATATATTACGGCTAAATGAGAACGTAACCTAAATATTCTAAAATGTCTTGCCGGTGTCTGGTGGGGTGCGCATCCTTTCTCTCTTAAACTTGTTTATAATGCCATAATAAGAAGTGTATTGGACTACGCCACTTTTTTTTTTAGCCAAGAGTACTACGGCATTTAAAAAGTTAGACAATATTCAATCAAAGGCTTTGAGAATTCTGTCAGGTGCTATGAAGTCTAGCCCCATAAATGCATGGCAATTCGAGTGTGTAGACCTTAGAGGATGGAAAAAAATAGTCTAAGGTGTAGACCCTCCACTTCGATTACGACGTCAGTTTTTGTCTGACAGGTATTTCTTTTTTTTTTTTATGGTATTTTTTTCTTTAGGTGCTTGCAACTTTCAAATCATCCTTTTCTATACAAACTACAATGTCTCTCTCGAAAAATAACACCTTCTCCATCCTGGACTCGAAAATCTCTACCAAGCCTTGTCATTAGTTTTCACAAATACCTTGCTCTTGAAGCTCCCACTTATCAATATTCTCAGTATCCTCTTTTTTGTTATACTTACGAGGTTCTAACTTTAACACCAGATATTCGCTTAAATTTAGGAATTAATAAAAGTCATTTTGATGCTCCTCAATATTTACGCTTTATTACTGAGAGTGATTTTGATGGTTGGCATTATTTATTTAGTGACGCATCAAAACGCTCTCTTGCTGGAAATATTGGAGTGGGAGTGTATCATCAGCAATCTAAAATAGTCCAAAACATTAAGTTACCATCTGAAACTTCTGTATACACCGGAGAATGTTTTGGTTTGTTTAAAAGTGTAGAGTTTATTCTAATAGCTAAGTTAAACAAGAGTATAATATTTTCTGACTCTATGAGCGCACTGCAATCATTGTCCAAGTTTCCATTTAGTTCTAAACTGATTTGCCCCATTATATTAGGAATTAGAAATTTACTTTATCGGTGTACAATAAAAGGTTATTCTGTAGGTAGTGTTTGCTTGGGTGCCGAGTCATTGCGGCATCCCATGCAATGAACGCGCAGACCAACTGGCGGGTGAGGCGATTGATTGCGGTAATCTAGCATTTTTTACTAATTACTGTCATGATTTAGATGCACTGCCCGCGATTTCTCTCAGGAATTCCTGGCAGGAATTTTGGAGCGTTAGCAGCCGTACGAAGGGATCGTTTTATGCGAGTATACAACCCTCTATTCCTACTAAGCCTTGGTTTTCCAAAATGAAATTTGGAAAGTTGGCCACAAGTGTACTGACTCGCATGAGACTGGGGCATGTGTGTTCTCCAGCCCACTTAGCCAAGTTTAAAATTATAGACCTTTATATATATATAGTGACCTTTGCGAGTGTGGAGAGATAGGTGATCTAAATCATATTGTACTCAACTGTCCTTTATACGATCATTCCTTTTTGTTCCATGTCCTCATCTCCATTGGATTCCCTCTTCCTAGTAGTAGGAAGTTGGTAAAGCTGATTTTGGCATCTAATAGTCCTATTATCTATAAATGTTTCGCTTCGTTTATTACTTTCAATTGTATCAAATTATAAATATGTAGCTATATTACGTTTGTCACAAAATTATTATGTTTATATTTTATATGTTTGTATTCCTATTTAACCTTAATCGCACTTCCCTGATCCTTTCTTCCAAATTATTTTCCCTTTTCATTGTTTTCCATGAATAAGTTTCCCCGTTTTGCAGTGGCACAAACGCAAACCGCGAAGTGCCAGAACAACAAAAAAAAGTGAAAAAGCGTTTAAAAAAAGCACGCTTTTTTTAAATAAGCATAACGCTTAAACATTTTAAAAAATAAGCAGTTTTTCTCAACTCTACTCACGCATACACGCCTGTGTCAAGTCTATAGTGGAGATGGTTAATATAATTTATTAAAAAAATTATAACGTGATTGAGAGACAAATACCATCAATCTATCCGTGCTTTATTTACACAGCTAACAAACAAAATCCTTTTTCGTCCTACTTTATGAAGTATGGCACTATATTCTATGTGAAAAGTGCGGCTCTTGTCTTTTTTCTTTTTTCTCTTATATTTTGGCACTATGGCGTCCAGCCTTTGGCCATATGCAATTTCCACTGAGTTGCAAATTTTTGATAATTCTTCCAAATTGATATTTTCTAGCTTCTTGAGATTTCAGCGTGGCAGTTGTTGTTGTGGAACTTTGGTTGGGTTTATGGATATTAATATGAAATTAAAAACGGGGAAAGGAAGCGGCTCTTGTCATTGGTTGAAACAATTATAACGTGAAATACTTTCACATATAATTTATAACATTTAACGTTTGTTTTTTTATTTGTTTGTTTGTTTATTGATGTTAAATTTCACGTTTGAGTACGCTAAACGCTAATGCTATATTTAGCACTTAGCAAGTGTTATAATTGTAGTTATGTTATAAATTATAATTTTGGTTACGTTTTAATACTATTTTGAGCTAATGGTGGAACGTTCACAAAATTTCGTCTGGTGAAGCGATTTAAATTAAGATATAATTTGAATCGCTCGCACAAAAAATATAGTTTAGCGTTTGTTTAATTAATAAATCGTTGTAATATTGGTATATAAAAGTACGAGTGTGTGCGTTATTATTAATTATTATGAGTGTAATTTACTGGAAATAACCAGTGTAAAGTTTTGTGCAAATTGTAAATTGTTAAAGTATGAAAGCAAGCTCATTGATTTATCGTCCATAACCTGTAACCACCATATTATGTAATAATTACAAAACAAATGAAGTCGGTCGTAACTAACCATAAAAAACTGTAAACTATTTTATAGTAGGCCATAGATGCTATACTTCAACTATTTCACGTTTCTTTCCATTCGTTACATTATCACACGACCTTGAGCTGCTAAAAAATGACAATTTTAGCACTTTAAATAGCGCGCTATAAAAATTTAGCATTTAGCATGCTATGTGAATATAGCAGTTAATCTCATCTCTAGTCTATAGATATTGGTCTGAGCACCAAACCAACATAGAAAAAAATAAAGGTGTTTGTGGTTGAAAAGAGAATTCAAGATCAAGTAGTTAATATACCTTCAAAAAGTGAAGTGATTTCTACGCTACCCTTAAAAATTTGATAACGTAGATACTCATCGTATTAAAAAGATGCTTATAACAAATAAATATCATTGAATTTCATTCATGGTCATCTGCAACCAAGTCACAGGCATTGACAAGAATTTTCACACTAGGCAAGTAAACCCACAACGAAATAATTTTTGCTGCACTTTACTATATAACTGAAATCAATATTTGTTATGAATTGTAGGACAAAGGTCGGATAAACCAGTGAGTGCATCGAACGAGAATGTCAACTCCAGCCAGAAGACGTTTGATGAGAGATTTCAAACGGCTACAGGAGGATCCACCGACAGGGGTATCAGGTGCACCCACTGATAACAACATCATGATATGGAATGCTGTGATATTTGGACCCCATGACACTCCCTTTGAGGATGGCACATTCAAACTAACGATAGAATTTACAGAGGAATATCCCAATAAACCTCCAACTGTGCAGTTTGTTTCAAAAATGTTTCATCCAAATGTGTATGCGGATGGTGGAATTTGCTTAGACATATTGCAAAATCGGTGGAGCCCTACCTATGATGTTTCAGCTATCCTAACGTCCATACAGTCTTTGTTGAGTGACCCCAACCCCAACTCACCTGCTAATTCCATGGCAGCACAGCTATATAAAGAGAATCGTCGAGAATATGAGAAACGGGTTAAAGCATGTGTAGAACAATCTTTTATTGACTAGAAGGCACCAGACATCAACAGCAAAGATGGCATGCTCAACAGTGCCCTCATTCCACAATTCATCTGAGCACTTCAATTTGTTATAGGAGGAATCTGTTTATTTATTGATAGACCAGTCTCTATAATGAGGTTTAAATTATGGTATACACTCCGAAGCTGCTTGAAAGCTTTAAGATTTTCTATACTGACATTAATTTTTAAACTATAATTAGGTTCAGGTAGTTGTTAATACCTACTCATAGTCATAATACTCATAAAATTAGCATGATAATTAAGTGATTGTGATAATAGTCTATAATATGGACATTAGGCACATGCAGTTCATATTTGTCATCATCATGACAATAGGCGAGGTTAGCTTCAAATATGAAGACAGCGGGCCTGTATGTGTAACCGAACCATACTATAATTTCTCTTCATTGCAACGCTCTTCAACAGCATATAAAAGCAGCAAAACCAAAACCTTTTCATCTCAGAACAGAAGGTTAACCTCATTCTAAAGTCGGCTTAAAGTTCAGGGTGGAATTCAAATATAAAACATTTGAAACTCACACCACCCACCATCAACCCATTGTTTCACTTCTTGCAAGTCCATTAATAATGTATAGTATTTCACATTCAGGTAAGATGGCTGCAGTTAGGTGGCTGGATCCCACTTGGACACCTTTAATTTGAGCATTTTCTTTTACATTGTAATTTTAAATAAGTCATGTTTTCAATGACGGACTTTGGCCTGAGAAGAGGCTTTGAATATATTCTGTCAATAAATACTTGTCATTACAACAGCTTTTTCTTCAACCTGGGCACATAATAATGAATGTTGGTCTGTTACTAATAACATTGAGCAAATGATTAATGATTGAATTGTATCAATTCATTTCATTCAATCAATAATTTGTGTTTTTATCATCGTTTCGACTGTACGAAAGGGGGCACTAAGGAAACAACAAAACATTTTTAAAGATTTTTGTTTTGTTTTAAATTGTTTTTCAAATAAACTCAACAAAACATGTTCATCGATCAATTTTTTTCTTAGGTCCTACAGGACCTAAGAAAAAAATTGGTAAACAAAATTTTTCAGCTTAATTTGCTAGGAAATATCGGCTGTGGAGAAAAATTAATAAAAATTTTTATTTTTAGCCTTGGCAAATGAAAACTTTTCAGCTTAATTTTCTCAAACACTATTGCCTGCGGAGAAAAATCTATAAAAACAAAAAGTTTTTGTTTATATGTAAGCTATCCGAAACATACACTGAAAACAATTGTAAACAAAATTAAAAAATCTTTCAAATTTTTAAGTTTCGTTTTCCATAGTACCCTTTGTGTGCACCCATATCATCTACAACTACAGAGGTTGCCTGTGAAAATCATATGTAAAAGAAGACATGCCTTGAATGACAGGAATAAAATATTTGACATAAAGGAGCTCCTTCACCGCAACCATTCGCTTGTAATGTTCAAATAAGAGAATTACAGCAGTGAGAGCGGAGAACCGAGCATTTGTTGCGCAACACATAACAATCGGAAGACACCTTCACCAGGAGCATTTGCCTGTAATGTAAGGCTGCATTACATAGTAGTAGATATAGTAGAAGTCTGTAAGTTAGATACTGTGAGTGCTTTTGAGCGCCTGCAAGTGAGTGCGAGTGTCTTTCGAGTGCCCCCTGATGCGCTCAGAGGGACTCAAAGTGCACACACTCAGAGGCACATCGCCTAATTGAATCTTTGATGTTACATTACATGCAAATGCTCATCAGTGAGGGAGGTAGTTGGTAATGCAATGCTCAAAAAAGACTCGAATGTTACATTAAAGGCGAATGCTTGCAGTGAGGGAGCGCCCTAATATTCTTATCAACATATACATTACAAAAAGTATTGATACTTCGCCAAGGAGCACCCATTCAGATTTCAAATTTTTTTATCAGTGAGCCAGAATGTTCATTAATCAGCTAGAAATAAACCTACAAGTTGAGTAACAACACTAACGAACACTAAATTACATTAAGCCAGTAGAAAAACTTTCATGTCCATGAAATAAGGGTAAAAAAGATGTAGTGTGTTTTGCATTGATGAGGGTAAGTGAAATGCACATCATTTTCACTCTTGTAATATCGACATTAACCTTTTTCTGACAGGCTCAAATCAATTACACTTCAGTGTGGTCTTATGCTTAATATAATTAACAATGAAGGTTTCAAGAGATGAATAACATACAGAACATACATTTCAATTTTATACTTAACCACTACTTACATAATAATTACATATTACAAAGAACCAAGAGTACTCAAAACACAAGTAGTAAATGTAAACTGAAACTGACCCTTCTTTTGAACTGAAAGAGCAACCAAAAACATTTTGTTACTCCATATCTAATTAACTTACTTTTATCACTTTCAGAACACAAATTATTTTCACTGCATTGCACTTAATATCTACGCATTCCAGGCGGGCCTCGACCTCCTGGTCCTCCACGGCCCATACCTGGAGGGGCACCCATCATACCGGGTGGGGGACCTCCCATCATTGGTCCTCCTCGCATTTGTGGTGGTGCAGAGAGTTGTCCTCTGGAGCCTGGGGCCATATGCTGCTGTGATGGACCACCTACCCCGCGAGCAGGGCCTTGTAGACCTGGAGGCGCTCCACCAAATCCTGCACCTCGTCCTGCAGCGCGTCCACTTCCTGGACCACCCATAGCGCCTGGAAGGGGCACTCGGGGTAATCCTTCCTCTGGTGGTGGTGGCCCTTCGATAGTCAACGACACAATATTTTCTCCACGCAGTAATACAAAACCAAGCGTTCTCTTTTCTTCCCTGTCTGCAGTCTTACTGTTTTTAGACTTGATTTTTCTGAACTCTTCACAATCGCCCAAAATTAAATTCATATGTTTATCAAACGCTTTGAATGTGCCAATAAAAGTTCTGGAATCTTGTAAAATTACTCTGACGCGGTAATTGATATGCTGTTGCATCTTATTATTCTTTCCGATAGTCTGAAATAAAAAACGAAAACTCGTTTATCATAAACCGTAAACAATTTGTGTTTGTATCGAATCGGCTACAACAGCTGAAAATAAATGTTATATAGCATTATATTGAAGAAAAACAAATTAAACTTTAAAAACTCACCATTTTGGATTAATGATTAGTACACAAATTTTAGATAAAATATTAATTCCACCGGCGTCTCTTCTACCGGTAAAATCAGGCAAACAAATATGGCTGATGTGACGTTTGACGTTTGCACAAATTGACATTTCTAGAGATGAGGTCGAAAACCGAGTTCTGTAACATGTACCAATAACATTACTATGTTCGGTTAATGAAATATGATACTGGAAAGTACAGCAGATGCAGTAAATCTGTGTATGGCATTGTACGTGCATTACGAAAATATAATTTTGATACAAATTATTGTATAATTTTGAGAAAATTCTTTAATATATATGTATATCAAGGTGGTTTGAACTTTATTTTTTTCCATCCTCTAAGGTTTGAACACAGAGTGATCGTTTACAGTTACAGTGGCTCCATAGCCGATAGAAATCAGTGGTGTCAAATTAGACGATTTTTCGATATTTAGGCTACTTCGAGGGGTCGCGTGGCGATTAAAAAAGTGATCGGCTCTTGTCGGTGACTGATAATAGTAGTCATTTTACAATTCAAGGCAAAAAAGTGATTCTAATCCTACTGGATAATTTTATACATGTAAGCCGTTTGCTAATAATTCTATATAAATATTGCTATACAAGCAGCGCATGTGCGATGTTGAAAAAAATATCAATATATTTCATAAACAAACAAATAAATAGTGTTTTTATCAGTGATCATCAATGTAACAAAAATATGATAAAATTCTAGAATGCATTTTTTTTCCCCACATAGCTCCAAATCCTAAATCCAAATAAAATCCCCAAACGAGTTGTTGGGTTGTAATTCCCTGTGTTTGGGGAATTCACTCCACACTGCAGTTAGTTCAGAAAAAGTCTGACGTAAGAATCGGACGCCTATCAGACGTGTATTGAGTGAATCCGACCCATGGAATTAATAAGTACTTTACTTATTAATTCCATGATCCGATCCTATAGTCGGATCCGACCACCAGACTCAAAATCGGACGTGTATTCCGCACAGACTATGGAAATAAGGACATGTTATGTTGACATATATAAATCAGACGTATATAATGCATTTCGACCTTAGAGGATGGAAAAAAATAAAAGATTTCGACATTGAAAACATAAACATGTTATTGTCTTTGTTTAACTCTTGCGTGCCGTCTTAAGCCAAATGAGATAGCATTATATTGGTCTGTGTCAAACACGGGAATCGAAAATACGTAACGTCATCTTAAATGCCAACCATGTTTATTTCGCAATACATGATTTTTTTTATTAAGGCTTTGGCAAAGCCATCAGCCTAAACATGAATTATTATAATTATTACAGAGTTTTAAATGTAATTAAAACAAAAACTAACTACTACAGTTTGAAAGTTAAAAAAATAAATTAAATATAAACAATTTACACTATTTTAAAGGTGCTATTTACAAATTCAAATATTACATTATATAAACTTGTGTGCTTTAAAAACTCCTGTACAGTACTGGGAATTTTTTTATATTGGAGAAGGTCTTGAGTTAAAGAAATAAGTAACAGACGTTGTAAAGAAAATTGTGGGCAGTCAAAAAGCAAATGATTAAGGTCTCAGTAATTATGGGAACAATATGTACATAACGAGCTAGTATTTAACTTTAACCTAAATAAATGTGCAGGGATCTTACAATGACCTATGCGAAGTCTGCTTAGAGTCGTTATAAAATCTCTACCTATATATGTGGGATATCTTTCAAACCAAGCGTTGGTTCTCGGCAAGCCACTTTCCTTTAACTTCTCTTGTAAAATTTAGAGTGAGACACCATGTTTTGATCATATTTTCCTTAAGGCATAAAACCAAGTCTGAATGAGGAACTTTAAAACCACAGAAGTCTACATTTTCTGTCGATTTTGCTAGGGTATCGACTAGTTCATTTCCAAATATACCGGAGTGTCCCGGAACCCAACAGAACTCTATAGTGAAACCTTTATTGCACATTTCGTTAACTAGATTTCTTAAGTAGTAAATTAAGTAATTAACACGGCTATCAATGATCTTATTTTTCAATAACAACAGTGCATTCAAAGAATCGGACAAAATCAAATATTTAGAATTACTCAAGTTAGAATTTAAAATATAGTTTATAGCATAAATCATTGCCAAAACCTCAGCAGAAAAAATAGAAAATAAATTATTACAAATAAAAACTCTTCCGCATTTTAAATAAGAATTATAAAAAGCAAAACTTGTCCTATCCTTAATATTTTTTTTTTTTTTTTAATTTAGTAAGGCTTTGGCAAAGCCATCAGCCTAAACATGAAGTTTATGTTTCTGTAAATATGGCCGCCACAAAGAGGATAGGCAATTTGAGGCGGCTTGCTTGTATTGACTCGGGATTCCTTAAAACGGGCCGCTACGGGTATTCTAGTTCGAGATTCGTATAATTTCGCGTTTTGATCTGCGATTAAGGCACAATAGCACTATCCTATTCCACTTTAAACTAGATTTCACAAAATAATTGAAAGTCAAAATAAATACGAAACTTTTCCCTCCAAAAGGTCCAGAGCGAATCTTGTCCTATCCTTAGTTTTAGAACCATCTGTATACACTTTAATGTAATCCTTCTTAGCATCTATAAACTCATAAAATTCAAATTTGTTCCTAAGCTTTGATGTATTTACTAATAATAGGGGTTAAAGTATGAAATTGCCGATTTGTACTGAAAATCT